CATATTGGTGGAGATATTAAAATTTACCTGAGCTAATAATTCCTACATTAGCAATGCATATTATTATTTGGTTTCAGTGGAATCTACATTCAATACTGACCTGACAAACCTCTACCTGTTTTCTTTTTGGCAGCCTGAAGACTGGTACATGATTACCCTCAAGGAAAGGCTTAGACTTTTCGGTCCAGTGTGCAAACAACCTTCCCAAGCTTGGAAAAAAAAAGTTGTGTTAACTATTGTAACAACACCCGAACCTCAGGGTAATTTTAAATAGGAAAAAAATAGACACCAGTCCAGTTCAAAGTTTTCCATTAACAACACACATCACCATTTTCACAAAGTGGGCCAGTATGCGGCATTCTGTAAAAGAATCATTTCAAAAATGAAAATTCGTATTATTTGCAAATTTTCTATTGTGTGATGACAGGATTACATTTTTACTTTATTTTAAAGCTACTTATTATGGAGTAGTCAAAGGTGGCTTCCAATGCCACATACAAAGCAGACTGCAGAAGAAATATCTTTTAAAATCAATTATCCAACATTTATGCCTACAAACGTTAACCAGCATGTCTCACCATCAACATGAAGATTCCACAATCAATTCCCAAGCTTTGAATTGGAAACCCCTGTTGTTATAACAGGAAAAAGGACAGTGACTGTAAACTGGCCTTTCTCAACTAAACACTATAGGCCAGTTTCACAGACAAGGATTAAAATTTATCCTAGATTAGCCTTCAGTTTCAATGGTGAATCTTCATTGGTAGTGCAGTTTAGTTCAAGTCTAGGCTTAATTCTTATCTGTGAAACTGGCCCTATATGTGTGAGTACAAGTTAGTACATATACCTCCAAGTCACAGCCATATCTCTCAGACCATTTCCAAGTATTATGGTCACAGCAAGCTTCCTGTTAATGAGACACAAAGTTAATATACTTCCATCCAGTGAAGTTTAAACAGCTTTATACAGACAATATGACCAACAGGTCAAAAGAAAACGTGCTTCACATGCTCTCAGTGCAATGTAAAGGGTTCCATAGCTCAGTAATAGCATTGACAAGCAGTCAGATTGGTATATTTGAGTTATATAAATTCAGTATTAAAGTCACTATGCAGAGCATTTACACCTTCTATCAAGCATGTGAACACACCTTATAGAGATCATAAGAATGTGACCTCAACATCAGAGAAACCTGCAACACTTATGTTCTTATGAACATGTTGCAATAACAGAACTCATTTTTTCAAAAGAGCCACCAAACCATATACTGTACACATACCTAACATACACAGATGTATAATACAAAAGGGATATGCCATCTTTCCAGGGGCAAGCCAGCCAAAATAACAAACAGAATCCCCAAACTGCTCCCACCCAACACACACTACACTCACCTACCAAAAGAAAGAAACAAAAACACTTACAACTACTCCCTGACTACGCCAAAACAGGTACAAAGGAGGCACACAAAGGAAATTGCACTTACCCCCTTCCAGCAGTGGTGGGCAAAAATGAAAAAAAAAGATACAAACAGTATTTGCAAATACATCCCCCATGTTTCCAGTGGGACAAACACAATCAACCACACAAAAAAGACAGTATCACAATAGAATAGCACAGCCCCACAGTTTTATATATATAAATAAAACCAGCACAGAAATATCTCTCCTCTCCCCCTTCAGACTCCTCTTGCTGACACACCTCTCCTGGAGCCGGCACCTTATCATGGTGGAGGGGTTTGCGTGTTCCAGTGATCCCAGGAGCTAAGTTGCCCAGTGCTTTATGCCCTTGGTAGGGTCACCCAAGGCAAACAGGTCCTGGGTGAGGGACCAGACAATGTGTGGATCATTAGACCCCTTATGATGAAAAACAACATAGGTTCACGTTTTCCCTCAACTGGACGTGGGTCACTGGGGCCCCCCTGGAGCCTGGCCTAGGGGTGGGCCTCAATGGCGAGCACCTAGTGGCCAGACCTGCACCCATGGGGCCTGGTTGGGCACAGCCTGAAGAAGGCACATGGCACAATGGGCTCACCACTTGTAGGAGGGGCCAAAGGGGTCAGGTGCAGTGTGAGTTGGGCAGTGGCCAAAGGCGGGGACCTTGGTGGTCCAATCCTCGGCTGCAGAAGCTAGCTCTAGGGACATGGAATGTCACCTCTGTGGCAGGGAAGGAGCCTGAGCTGGTGCACGAGGTTGTGAGGTTCCGACTAGATATAGTCGGGCTCACCTCGACGCACAGCTTGGGCTCTGGAACCAGTCTTCTTGAGGGGGGTTGGACCCTCTTCCACTCTGGAGTTGCTCGCGGGGAGAGGCGCCGAGCAGGGGAGGGCATACTTATTGCCCCCTGGCTGGGCGCCTGTACATTGGAGTTTACTGCGGTGGACGAGAGGGTAACCTCCCTTTTCCTTCGGGTGGGGGGCAGGTCCTGGCTGTTGTTTGCGCTTATGCACTAAATGGGAGTCCAGAATACCCACCCTTTTTGGAGTCTTTGGAAGGGGTGTTGGAGAGCGTTCCTCCTGGGGACTCTCTAGTTCTGCTGGGGGACTTCAATGCTCACGTGGGCAATGACAGTGAGACTTGGAGGGGCGTGATTGGGAGGAACGCCCCCCCCCCCCGGCCCGAACCC